ATTAATATAATATATAATATAATAATATAATATATAATAATATATAATATTATAATATGTAATATATAATATATAATATAATATAATATAATATAATATAATATAATATAATATAATATAATATAATATAATATAATATTATATTATATTATATTATATTATATTATATTATATTATATTATATTATATTATATTATATAATAATATATAATAATATATAATATAATATCATATATTGTATAATATCATATAATATCATATAATATAATATAATATAAAATAATATAATACAATATAATAGCATTATAATATAATATAATGTAATAATATATAATATAATATATAATAAATAGAATATTTTATATACTATATTAATATATATAATTTTATTTATATATATATATATATATACATAAAATATAATATATATATTAATAAACACAAGAAACAAGAAGCTAAGGAGTCTTTGGAGAATCCTTCCTGAAACAGAACTGAGATAAGAGAAATTCCCCATGAGGGAATATCCCAAGGGGCTCAGCCCTGAGGAGATGAAAATCACCTCCAACAACATGGACACACCACATCCCTCCATCCTCAGCAGCTCCCTGCTGCTCCCTGGCCACCAGATGGGTGGAGAGGGTAAATCCATCCCAGAAAGGAAAAGAAATAGTGCTCAGAATGTACTCAGAAAGGAAAGAAATAATAGCTTTTTCTGCCACAGCCCCTTTCCTTGAGCTCATTGTGAATGAGTGTCCTCATGAACCACCCGTTTTACACACAAAACCTCCCTTTATTTGTTAAGCTCTCCATCCCTGACTCCTTCATTCAGTTTTGTACTCGGCTGGAATAAAAACCCCTCTTGTTTCAATGGGTCCAATTATCAATAAATAAATAATAAATAAATAAATAAATAAAAATTAAAGTCTAAACTGTAATTTACTACCAAACAGTTTCTGGACACAAAAGTATAAAGCTCCTGTCAGTTCTTCCCTCATCCCACACTACTGTAACATGCAAGCCTGGACTCTAGAACTGCTTTCTGAATTAAAAAAACCTTCAGGATAAACAGCCTTCTTTCTGTTTCCAAAGAAATGATTGTGGTCAGCTGTCGGTGTTGGACATGAAATAAGTCACACAGACACAGCTCAAGGTATGATGAAGGAAAGAGAGAAGTTTATTTCTTCTCTCACAATTTATAGGTTTCTGACCGTGGCCAGGGAATGGATTGCCAGGATAACACCTTCCCAACCACACTGGTGAGAGATGTCCATCACAAGATGTGTATCAGAAAGAATGTACACATATCTATGTTTACAGTTACTGTCTTTAGAAACTCAAGTTCCAAAAGCTGAGTTTTCAGGGTGACAGTCAGCCATCTGTACCGAGATCCCTGCTGGACTGTCCTTACAAATGTCAGCCTGCCCACAGCTCTCCCGGTGTCTGGAACAGCAGCTATGGATGCAGCCACATCCCCTTCTGCCACAGGCTGCTCTGATATTTGGGTTATTGATCCGTGTAGCTGAGAAAAACCCATTTCTAATCCCACTTTGGGGAGCAGGGAGGCTCAGCAAGCCCAGTTACCTCTGCAGCCCACCACTGCTAACTCTGCACCAGGTCTGGAACAAAGGGCACAGCTAATGCAGCCTGGGAGCTATTCTGGAAGCTGGACTCCAGCTGCTGGGTTTCATCAAGTGTTTCTTCCTGGTATTAAAATAATTTTGTTGCTGAAAGTTAAGTCTAGAATACCAACCACCATAATTGTCACTAAGACTGAAGAAGGGGTATTAATAATTAAAATAGCAGCCATCTTTTGCTAAGCGAGGAAGCTTAAGCTTGTTTTCCAGGGTAGAGGAATGTGATGCAGCCACACTGCAATCTGCTGAAGTCAGGGAATTCTGATGTTCAACGAGACATTTAAGTTCTAATTAGTTGTGTTAATGAGAGAATCTCCTCTGTATCAGTTGCTGGATACATCCTATGCTGGATATAGGAACTTCCCCATGGACTTACATGAATAATTTCTTGAGATCCTCAGAAGTCAGGACAATTGGGAACAGCCCAAGAGAGTCAAATTGCTTATGGAGATACCTCTCAGAAGCTGCAGGAGAATCCATTTTATAATCTGGATTTGGGAGACTGAGGCAGTGCCCTGGGAGGTGATCAAAAATAAGTGATGTCTTTTATATGAGGAACAATTAAGCAGCACTGGAGTTTTCAGCCTAGAAAAAGGGATAACGTGGAATGGATATAACAGCCTAAAACTGTGTGAGTGGCACACAGTTATTATCTCATCAGAACCACAACTCTGACCTCTCTTAGAACTTATTTTCCTTAGGAAATTCGTGCATTTTTTAGTACAATAATGGCAACAGGAAAAGCTGAAGAAATCTATTAATTCATATTTAATTTTCAAGGTCATACTGCCGGCCACTGTAACTGCACTGTCTGCCTGCAAAACTCTCCGATGACCTTGAGTATCAACATCACACTTTAAATCACATTTTTAGGTTTCAAAGTTGGAAAACTGAGGGATACCTTTTTGGCTCAAGATGTAGATTTTTAGTATTATTTCCAGCAAACTTCCTATCAGAAATCTAACACCCTTGCAGAGTCAGAAGCAGTACTAGTGGGTTCTGACATCTCAGAACTTCTTCTGCTAAGTTGGTCAAGACTGCTATTAAAATTTTTTGAAGTGTTAGGACATGAAATAGAAAGTGACCTCCCAAGCTCTTGTGAATCCCTTTGAGATATTAATGCTTCCTTTAGCAGCAATATTTAGAGAAGAGTTCAGCGTGTCTGTATTTAGAGAAGAGTTTAGCATGCCTTTCCAGATACTGGGAATGCTAGATATAGAACCATCAAGAAAGTAGATCCATTCCTTCAAGGCAGCTCAAAAATTCCACCATTGGTTTCTGGGGTAGCAAAGGGCTAAAATAACCTGCAGCTATGGAAATACATGAGAACGTGAGAGAAGGTCAGCTGAGGAGGGTGATGCAGACACACCTAACAGGTGCCACACCTTAGAGACAACATCCCAGTGTGAAACATGGACAGCAGCTCTGAACCACATCCTCAGAGCTCAGGCAGTCAGATGCAATCAGCTGCAAGTTCCTCTGATTTTCTCCAGCATGCCAGAGCCCCAGGCATGAGACCTGAGTGTGATGCAGGTAAGTCTGAGCTCACTCGGCTCAGCCTCACTCAGAGCTCAAGGACAAGACATGGGGACAAACAAAACCATTCCTGTTGTCACCCAGCTCCTGAAGGAGACAACGTAGAACCTCATTTCTGAGGGTGCTCAGCTTCCTGGCTGGATCCCACATCATAGCCATGGTTTGAGCTACAAATACATTATACTCGGCTTACACTTCTCAATGAATATGGGTAAGCAGCAAGGAGTAATTGACTTTAGAACATTTGATAAATTGCATTTGCACTTTCAAGTCAGTAGGTCATCCCTACCTCCTCCAGGAAGTCTTTTACCATAAAGGCTAGGATTGAAATGACAGATGATTTCCAAATCCACATGAATGAAACAAGAATTCCTATCTCACAACATCTACTCATCAGCAGCAGGAAAAAACGCCTTTTTCACGTTCCTGAAAAATTGCACATCTCCTGCCAGCTTCTCATTTATGTTGCTGGACTTAGAGCAGAAACAAATGGAAGCCATTTGAGGCTCTTCCTGAAATAGTTACAAGAATTGGAACAGAATTATTATTGGTTGCTAAATAAAGGAAAAAACTGTAGTGCGGAAACTCTGGAATCATATTATGTTCACTCCAGACACTCAAGAGATTACTGCTCTAAAAAAATAAATCTGGCCTAAATCTGGCTCAGAAATGCAATGGGCTCCAGCTTTCTTATATAAATGCTTACAAGAGCACAAGCACCATGGCTCAGGCCCTGGAAAACATATCAATAAGAGGTATTAAGATGTATTTATGTGCTGCATACACTCATCTCAAAAAACTCTTCCAGGCCTTGCTTTCCTGACTTCTTAGAGAGGGGTCTTAAATCTTGTGTACACATAGAGCTTTCCTAAAAAATGCTGAAGCATGAGATGGACACCAGTGTGCAGAACAGATCATTAGATTCAAACCCGTGGTACACATACATGGACAGCCATCAGTTCATGCCTTCAGCTGACAGATGTAAAATAATCTTCACACAGGATCTTGGCAGGAGTGAATCCATCTATGCACATATTTATCTGTGCATCTACACAATCCATGCTCAACTACCAGCCTTTTAGAACTTAATATTCAATTACTTTAGGAGGCTGGCTGACAAGAGGAAAATGCATTTAATAATATCAAAAAATGTAAGGACACTGGCTACACAATAACTCATTTTCTTTCTTTTCCTTCCTATGTAGAATACAAAATATTTGTATTCTACATAGACTACACTGTTATAATTAGGTTAAAATGATTAATAGTGAAGAATGCCTGCCATTGTGCTCTTTTCAGGTACAATACAGACATGACAATAGTTCTCCTGTTTTCAGAAGGATGGGGAGAAGGGGTTACCATGTGTGCAGCAGTGTCTCTTTAAGAATTTTTTTTTCAGCTGTGCATCCAGGGCAGCTAATAGTTTTATCAAATACCCTTCACAGCAAGATGACTGTTTCCATGGAAACTGTAGAGCAATCATCCATTACTCTTGCAATGATTTCTCTCTCTGCTCTCACCTAAACACAGGTAGCTGCTTTCTCTCTAACTACAATAGAACAGAAGAATTCATTTTACAGGCTCTGTGATAATTCACCTCCAGAGCTTCCTATGGAGACTACAGCCAAAGTGGGGCCCACAGCACAAAACCCTGAAAGGTACCTGCAAGGAAGCCACAAATAAGATTTTAAAAAGGCACAAATTCTGTCAAATCAAATGTAAAATACAGCTTATAGAGAAGATGGAAGAATCTTTCCTTACAGCTGTGGAATGGCTAGGAGACAGAGGGGAGTTTGAGATTGGAGATGAATGCTGAGTTTGGTCACTCACCTCTCTCAGCATGTTGTTCTCCTTTTCCTTCTGTTCAAGAAGGCTTTCCAAGTGGTGCACGTGCATCTCTGCCTCAGCCAACCTTCGCGTCCGCTCGTGGTCCTCCTCGGTGGCTTTTGCTGACAGACCTTTACTCTGCAGCATCTCCAGCAGCTTTTTGATGGACTCATCCCGTGCATTCAAGGTCTGTTTCTGCGTCTCAATCCTCAGTTCCATCTCCTCCAAGGTTTTCCGCAGCAGGAACAGCTCCTTGGCCTGGCGCTCGTGCTCGGCGTGCAGGCGCTGGAAGTTCTCCTCGGTCAGCTCGGCCACCAAGGGCTCGCTGCTCCTGCTGCTGCTGTCCTGCTGGAACAGCTGGTTCAGGTCCCTCTGGATCCGCAGCTCGTCCTGGAGAGCCTGGATAGTCATCTGCATGTGCTGCAAGGGAAAATCGGTAATGTCAGAGGGCTGCCCCCGCTGGAGAAATACAGAAAATACAGTATGAGCCACATCAGACCTCCTGAGCCACCAACCCAGAGGAAACCACAACACCAGCAGAGCAACACTGCGGGTTTTTAAGCAGAATTGAGGTGGAATTGGGTTACTCTACAGAAAGTTCAAGTTCTCCTATGCATGGCAGAGGTTGCTTAACACTTAGCAGACTCTTCTCTGAGTGATGCTTCCACTTGCATCAATTTGACACAGCGACTGTTTCAAACAGGAAAACATCAGCAGCTTCCAGCAACTTGTGTCAGTACCCTTCCAAATGTCCTGGAGAACAATTCTGCAGAAGCCCCAGATTTACTATAGAATTGCTGTCTTGGCAAAGCAGAGGGGCACAGTGCTGTTAGAATGCACATATCACCCACAAAACCCCATCGGCTGTGAAGGCTCCCAAGGTCTGCAGCACTAAATCTACACCCAGCACAGATTTCCCATCTGACTCAGAGAAGAAACTTCAGCATTTAATGAAGAGACACAGAAAACTGGGTAAATGCTGCACAGGGAAAAGGGTCACATCATAAAATGCAATGCATGAGGATTTTAGCACAGAAATTACCAGCTCACAAACAGGAATCTGAAGTCAATCCAATGATCGGCAGTAATTTGTTGTTGTGCGAGACAATAAATCCTGTCTCAATGACTGAATACAGTGGGTTAATATAATGGGACAGTACAGGAAAAGCACAGTCTGCCCCCAGAAAAGTCCTCCCTTTATATTTAAATAAATAGGTTTTCTCTTCTCTGCAAGACAGAAGTATCAAGCCAGTAACAGAGAAGTACAAACACTGCACAAAGATTTGATTGCCAGAAATGAGATGCACACTGAGTGATAGATCTCTTCTCCCTTAAGTGAGGCAGACATGCCTACAATTTAGTCTGAGTGTGAATAAGTCAGGTACACTGATCCCTGGGGTCTACATTTATATTACAAAATCCAGTGTCTGCAATACAGCTACTTGCAGTATTCACTAGGCTGAAGGACTGAAATAAATTCTGTTCTATGATCAAGCCTGATGCAGAGACACACTGGTGAGGTCTAAAATGTAAAGATGGTGCAAAATTAATGTTTTCTATAAATCCAAGTACTTCATTTTACTCAAGCATTTTGTAAAAAGAGAAACTAAGAAGATTTGGGTTGAAGCATTACTTCCAGAATATATTTGTCACAGTTCTTATGTAAAATGCCTTGAAGATGTTAAAAAGCTGTCTGGACATGGCCTTGGGCAAGAGGGGTTGGACCAGCTGACCTCCCACCAAGCTCAAGCACTCTGTGACTCTATGAAAAGACAGCAGATAGTATTTACAGCAGTTACCTACCTTTAATCTGTTTTAGAAACACAAAGGGTCAGTTTGGTTGTACACAATGGTGCCATGAAGGCAGTCCAAAGCCATTTTCTTGGCAGAAGTCAGTATTTTAGACCAAGTGCTTTCCCTCCATTTGTGTTCTGGCCTAGGGCTGGCAAGGAGCTGGCAGAGAAGAAAATGGATCCTTCACAGCATCAGCATAAACTGAAATCAGCTTAAATGCAAAGCTCCGTGGCTGGTTTAGGATGCTGTAATTGCCTTTTCTTCTATTGCAATTACACAATACCTGGCAGTTAGCAATTTGGTTAATCTAAAACTACATTTCAGCTTAGAGAATCTGTGTGACAACATAGCACACGTGTATTAGGTGAGAGAACAAGAAATTACTCTGTTCCAAAAGGTACATTGTGTTTATATATTGGTGGATGCTCAGATTTATTTTCAAGTAAGAGATGAAAAATAGCTGAAGGGAATTCATATGGATTTCCAAAATGTTTTCAGAAATCGCTTTCTTTTTAATTAAAGGTTTCAACTTTCAGTTATTGACTGTGGTTTGGAGAAAGGACAAAGTGAGAATGCCAGAACCACATCCAAGCCTTGAAAATGAGGCACTACAGGTAGGCAATCAAAACTGCTACATCTCTTCAGTTTATGAATGACGAGCTGTAAGAGGAAGCCTACTGCACTCAATAAAACATTTGCCTCATCTGAACCTATCCCCCACCTATAAAGTCAGTAGGGCTACACCAGCAGCAGTGAGGGAATGTCCTCAAATTCTGTTAGAATTAAACAATAACCCCACTAGATATAACTTTCCAGTCCCACACATGAGTTAATTCCATTTGTATTTGAGAAGCCCTTCTTACCCACAGCCCAGCTGTGTGTTGTTCCTCCAGCTAACAAACAAATTCCCACCTGGCTCTCCACAGACTGCAACTTCAGCGTTTCCTTTCTCCCAGGCCAGAAAAGAGCTTCTTCTGAACAACCACATCATCTATTAAATGAAATTATTTCCTCTACTCAACGTTGTCTCGGAATCAAACTTGGGTTATTTATAAACATGAACGGCCTAAATCACCACAACCAAACTCTTGCATTTTTACCATCTGATCTGCTGTGAAATGTCATTTCAGGTTACATAGACAAAAACCATGTCTCAGACCCACAGAAATTATTTCCCCCAAATATGGAAATGCCTCCATGGAACTTCTGGGTCACTGAGCCAAAATCAATTTAATGATTCAAACATACGATGTGGAAAAAATAAAATAATACCAGTGACAAACAGGATTTACTGATATCCATCAGTCTGCAAAATAAAGACAAGGGAATTTGGAATATCCAACAATTGGTCAGCAACTGCCTGTAATTCAGTTTCCCAGGAAAAATGAAGAGCTGGGGTTAGAGGATAAGTTAGAGCTGAGCTTATGAATAACTCCCACTGTTCTCTGAACTGCTGCTCAGTCAAGAACAAACTTTAATATGTGAAAGGTAACTGGAAAACACCCCACAGAAAATTATTCTGTGCTTTTGACACCCACTCTTTTCCAACATGCAAAATGGATGCAAAATGGGTTCTTTTTTCTGCTTCCCAAATTGTTTTTATGGTTCTCAGAATAACAGAACAATATTCTTTACTAGTTCGTACGTAACTGAATTACTTTTAAGATTAAAATTTCTTGTCTTTATATAATTTCAAAGAAAACATCCTTTTCCCCCTGAAGGAGCAGGCAAGCTTTACTAGCTTCTCATCCATTTTTTAGACTTCAGTTTTAAATCAGCAACTATCCTAAAAAGCCAAAATATTTTCCAGGTTCATGCAACACTAGCCACAGCTATTTAACGCTATAAGGTCTAAGACCTGACTAGAGATCTGAAGAAAACTTGAAAAAATACTGTTGAAATAGTCTTATCTAGAAATAAACATGTAAAAATACTTTTAATACCACTGAGCTTTGTTATGTCATGTAAGTAACAGCCATGCTTTTGTGAAACAGTTTAATGCAGGTAATGTAATTAAAGTCAAAGCAACTATGATGAACTTGTACTTTGCTTGAAATTTATTGCTCTTATCTCAAATCTTGAGGATTCCCTGTTTTTTTCAAGGAATGAGATCTGTCTTTAAGCCTCACTACAAATGATAACAACACCTGCAAACCACAAAGGTGTTTTTGTGAGCACGGTTCTGTACTTATGGTTATGTCCAACAAATTGTTCTCCTGACAGAGCCAAGCACCTTCAGGCTCATCTCAAACACAAGTCCTAAAAGGCCATGGTGCAAACATCACCCCTTCCACCAGGTGTTCCTCTGCCTGTACTCCCTCCACAGGTCACCTTCCCAACCAGGCTCTGCATCATTGACATTACAGCCCCAAATTTACATCCCCAAGTAGCAGAACACTTTGCCTCCACCTGCCAGGACTCCAACTGGCATTTCCCACCCCGGGGCAGGTTGGTGAGCTCCCAGGCTGTAGATGATGGAGAAGCTCCTGGTGCTTGGTTCCCAAAGCTGTGCTGCTGTTGCAGTCTCAGGCTGATCCAAGGCACCTGCAGCTGCACTGGTGAGTTTGGGAACCTTGCTGCAGGCAGCTCCTTTCATCTCTCGCCGCTGAAGCTTTTTCTTTTTGCATAAAATATTTAAAGATTCAGTAGGCCTGACAGAAAAGTATTAAAGAGAGCACAGCTTCTTATTCTAATTGGTAGAACACATAAGAACAGAAAGACCTGAATAGCAATACTTCCAACTACTTAAATGTTTATCATCTCACCATTCCAAAGGAAGTGGGGATGTGCATTTTAACTGTCTCAGTCAGAAAAAGAAATTTAATTGATATTCTACAGCAGAGACCTGTATTCTAGCCCTACATTTTAGATGAAAAGGAGGCAGCCACTGCTACTAGCATGATTTTGAAAGAAAGGATTAAATTGTGATGTGCTTTTTAAAGAAAGGATTCCCACACTCAACTTTGCAAGACAGAGCTTGACCTACCAAGCTACAGCGTTTAATATTCCAATATGCATTTGTCCATTTGGATTTGGATGCCTGATTTAGATTATTCATACTGCAGATACTGCCTGTCTAACTACTGTAATCAGACACACAACTTATCCCATAATTTATTCAAGAAGTCTAAATGCCTAAATTAGACCTCTGGGTTCTGCAATGCAAGCAAGGCACCTAGACACCAAATGCTCCCATAGTTAAGTTCCTCTTAATCTCCTCTATTTAAATTCTAAGTAGGTTAAACCGAGAAAATTCCTTTAATTTTTGAACACCAAGAAAAAAAATACAGTATGTTCAAGAGAAGCCTGAAAAAAATCAGCAATAAGAAGGAGAATGTACTCTTTCTCAGAACCAAGGGGAAAACATAACACACAATTATATGGCAGTGTCACAGAAATGTGTCACAACTGAACATTGTTACATTCTGCAAGACTCAACCACTTAAAAAAAATTTCCCTGACACTGGGAGAACAGTGAGGACTCAATCATGAGCAAGAGAATGTAGGGTGGTGGTAAGGACAGGGAGAAAAAGAGAGGTTCTAATGGAATATTTAGTGGTGTGAAAGCTTTCACCTGGAAGAGAGAGAGAGAAGTTCAAACTCTTTCTCATCTTCATATGAGCCAC